GATTTTGTGCTGGAACCTGCATGGCTTGTGCCGATTCCCGAGTCGAACCGAGCGAGTCCAGTTCGACTCGACGATTTTTAAATCATTGATTTTTATTATAGTTGTAAATTTTTTTTTAAAAAAAAAAGATGATGTTATAAGATATTGATGAAAAAAATTAAAGTTATTAATGTAGTACCCTCATTTCTTATTGGATTCCTAAAAAACAATGTTTATAATCATTTTAAATAATATTTTTGGATTTTTTTAAGGCTTAATCTGACCTATTCGGCTGATTCCCGATCCGGATCGTCTATTCACCGATTCGGATGGATTTTTGAGGTGTTCGATCCGGGGCACCGATCCTTTTTTTAAACCATTGATTTCGAGTATTAATATACCTATAAGAAATTGCCAAATGTGGCATACACTTTTTTGGGTTTTTTTGGAGTATTGGAAGGGTATAGTGATGCTACTTGGAATAAAAAAATTCAAGATTCACTATCAGCTTCTGAATGGATTTTACACTAGTAGGTGGTGTGATATTATAGGAGTCAAATCAACAAACATGTATCTCACACTCTATTATAGAGTCCGAAATTATTGCTTTAAACTTTGCTAGAAAAGAGGCAGAATGGTTAAAGAATTTGTTAAATGATATTTTTATATGGCCAAAACCGATACCTGCGATTACAATATATTATGATAATCAAGCTACTACTGCGAGTGCTTGTAATAATATATATAATGAAAAATCCACATATTGCCTAAAGGCATAAGTCTATTAACTATTAATTGGAGATGGAGTGCATAGAATATGTAAGATCAAAGGGAAATTTTGATGATCCTTAAATAAAAGACCTTGCGAGGGATGAAACTAGTAAGACGTTAAAAAGAACGAGGTTAGAGTCCATTGAGTAATCATCTACAATGGGACTCAATCTAGTCTTTTGTAACCTCAAATTTCAAGGTCAACATGTTCAAAATAAGTTGTATGTATGAATAGTTTTGTCACTAGACGTCAATATATTGTAAGCACTCATTCTAAAGAAATCCATACATTAGATAAGTCTAGTGATGAGTTGTATATTAGTAGTTAAGTTATACTATTCATGTTGTTTATAAACTATTTATAAGTAAGAGTGTTTTATACACTGGGGCACTCTTGATGGACATACTTATATAAATGTGGAAGTGAGGTTGTTTCCTTAAGGGATGAGTCTGTAGAGCATTAATGAAATTGAAAAATAAAAAAAAGACCCAAAATATGCCTGGCAGCTAAAAGACACCATAATTGATATTATTTGTGAGTTATACTACTGGTCTTTTAAATAAGCAACCTAATTCAAAGCTACATGCTACCATGGTACTTGATGGGCTTTGTAGTGTATACTCAAAGTGATTGTTCAATTGAATGATACTTTTGTAGTATGTAAATAGTATGCTTACTTATGTTTTTTTATGTTATTTTGAAATAGTGGAAGAAATTTTTGCATTTCTCTTTTTTTTAAAAAATACTTGTATGTATTTTTCAAAAGGGTGCAGTTGGCATTAAGATGCATCCGTAGCTATAGAGGTAAGGTGCACCTTCAAATTTTATCATGGTATATAATTTTGAAGTAAAATGTCCTTAGGATTATCTCAAAATTTATTTTTATACCTAATTATAAAATTTTAAATTTAAAAAATGGTTAAAATCAAGTAGATCTATAAATATGAAAATCTTGAAAATAGACGGTATAGATAATATGTTAGAAAATGCATTATTTCTGAGACTTAAAATCTTTTTATTTTTTATTGGTCATACATCTCGATGTCAAGATGACCAATCAAAAGG